CTGGAGGCAGAGAGCAGCCCTCGCCAGGCTCCTCGGTCATGGGCTCCCCGGCTCCGGCGCTGGAGGAAATGAATCCCCGTTCCTCGTACGTGGCGCAGTCTCAGGTATTTCGCTAGAGCTGCATAAATGGACTAAAATAGACCTTTAGACACCAGAACATTCTATCAGTAAATCCCAATGCAGATGCTGTCAGTGGCCGCCCCGTGCTGGAGGTGGAGCCAGCAGTGCCCGCGTGTGCAACCTCTCCCCTCGGTGTCTGCTCCATGAGCTGACGGTCCCGGGCCCTGGACGCTTCTCGGCCTGCGCTCAAGGCAGCACGGAAGGGAGGGGCTCCAGTTCCAGGGGCAACACCGGCCACAAGGGTTGGTCTGCGGGTCCACAGCCCAGCGCCCCCAGCACTCCGGACACCATCGGCACCCGCCCCACCCCCCGCACACGTGGCCACCCCTCCCGGCCCTGCCCCCTTCCCCGCTCCTCACTTACGCTTCCTGGGACCCCTCCCACAAAAGCCACCTGCCACGCCCTGTCTCAGTGTCCCATTCGGGTGGGCCACGTCAGGACAGCGCCCCCCACCTCAGATGGGGGAGGTGCGCAAGGGTACGCTGGCGGATGCTGCGCGCCCAACCGCGCCAGCTGCGCACAGGCGGCCAGAGGGCAGAGGCCCAGGGAGGAGCGGGCAATCTCACGTGCCCCGACCGACTCAAATATTTTAATCAAAAAGACTCCCCTCTGGGAGACAAACGTGGTCAGGAACGAACAGAGGGTGAACAAATGAATGAATCAGTGGAGGACGCCTGTACCACGTGTAAAGGCTGAGCCCTTAATCCGTTTCAAAGACAAGGTCCAATCAGTAAATCTAAAACATTATGAAATTATCCTGGGTCTTAATCAAAATCTCTATTTTCAGCATGACCTGACACTCGGAAAAGAAGTTTAATTTCCAAGCTGGAAGGCCGGAAATAAGCTCTGGCGAAGCGGCCTGGGCGGAGAGACCCGCCTGCCCGCGGGCACGAGAGTGTAAGGCTGGTGCCAAGAGCGCCATCGGCTCCTCCACCACCAGTGCCCTCGGAGTAAAGCTGGGCGCCCAAAGAGGCGGCTGCACGCGAGTTTACGTAACCAGAGGAGAAAACAAAACGGGTAAATTCCACGGCAACGTGGCTGACAGCGCACCACGGCCCCTCCACGGGGGGCGCAAGGTGGCCCTGGCACCAGGTCACATCGTCCCTCTGGAATGTGTATGGCACCGTCGATGCCGCCAGTGTCCGTGGACTGGGTGCGCGGAACAGGTAGCCACGACCTTGAAGCAGGGAATGACCTGGGGCCGTCAAGATACAAAGGCAGCGGACCGCAGTCACAGCGGGAGTCGGCAGAAACACGGAACCTTCTTCTCTCGTCAAAGAACTGGCGCCAAGTGCAGGTGAACTTAAGGGCAAAATCCCAGTGGGAGTGTTTGCTAATGGCGAGTGTCGCCTCAGGGTGGGAGAAGCTGCTCTGGGAAAGGCCACGGCCTCCCTCTCGGCAGGGACGGCGGCGCACACTGTCTTTAGGAAAAAATACAAAATCAGACACCGTGTCTCTCCGCTTCAAAGAAAATCTGTTTCTTTCTCAGCTACGTGTTCTGCGGGCTGGGCTGTCGGGCTAAAGGTGGAATGTCAAGGCCAAAGCCCACGCCACCCTTGT